CTTTTGGCCGGCTTCCTTTTTTAGCCCTCTTTCTTCCTCACCCCAATTTTTCTCTTCTTTTTAGGCTTTTTTACTTTTATAGCTTTTAGCGCGGTACTTCTTCTTGACATTTTTAACTAGCCCACTTTTGCAGTTTTACCATGAAGTGTGATTGCAACTCAAGTGCTTAACGACACCCACACGCCAACAGAAATAAAAACATACATTCACATATGTGAAGAAATACAGTGCGTTCCAATGCCTTCAAGTTTACTATTTTAATAGTTTATATATATTCACAATTATTTATTGACTATTTCAACTTTGTAAAATAAAGTATAAATTTATTAATTAAACTATTCCTTAAAAATATATGTTCCTAGAAACAAGTATAAACTAATAAACAAAGAAAACCTTAATCATTGTTCGTAAACAAGCAAATCTAATTACCTTTATGAACTTTCAAATGAAATGAAGCGATTCTTGTGTTTTAAAGCCCATATTACCCTCATACAGCTTTAAAACCCACTGTTCGCACATATAGAATGTATTTATGTATAGCTATGTAGAATGTCTTGTCGCTGGCTGACTGACAGTCACGGGTCTATTTCAGTTAATTATCGCACCCAAGCAGCAGTTTCCCCCCTTTTCCAACCTTTGTTGACTGACATTTCGCCTCGAATGATCTAATCAGAAACAAGTTGAATTTGAATTGTTGTTGCTGGTATTGTTATTGTTTTTGTTGGCTTGTCACTGGAACAGAACCGCTTTATAAGGTGGAAAGGTAAGGGGAGGGGCTTTTTGGGGTATACTGTTATGACAGCCGACTATATATAGACTAATGTAGTCCCAATTCGGATCGTGTGCGCCTCTAGATATTGCATTTTCGGTCTATCTGCCTGTCGCCCATGGATAATAAATTTTTTATAATATTTTGTTTTCGGTTGACATCGAATTTCTTTGATATTTTTAGATGGGTACACTAAAGGTGTTCTTGATTTATTTAAAGATTGTGAATTAAATGTTCTAAAAATATACTCAAAAATTATAGTGCACTAATTACTAGCCTCATGTAATGTTTACTTATATATTTCATTTCATTTTATTTATATATGTTTTTACAATGAAAAGACATTAGTGTTCGTCAAGTTTTAAATTCTTTACCTTGATAACAATACTATCTCACTTTTATTTCTGACTTCCTTATTTGGAAGTCGATTTTCTAACTTTTTAATTGACCAATAAAAAAATGTATTGATAGCTTGACACTCAGATATCAATATCAGTTAACTAAACGTGAACAAGAAAAACCCCATGACCAAATAAATATATATATGAATACGAATGTGTTTGAATTCCAGCTAAATGAATTTTCAATTTGGTTTTTGTTTGCTCATTTTTTTCTAGGTGGCTCTAATCATATCTAGAACATATGACCGAAGTTGAAAGACAAGCCTTTGTTTTAGCATGCCACAACTGCTATGAAAAAACAGTTAAATAATCACAACAATGGCACAACAAATTCTACTCAATTTTTTTTTATCTCCAGTTTGCGTTGACAGTTTTTGTTTCTCTATCTCAAATCAGCTGAAAAAAGAACGAAGAATTATAAAGAAAAAGTTCGTTGGCAATTAGAAAAAGCGTGAAATACTTACGAGAAAGAAAAACAAATACGGCTAGAGAAAGAGAGGTAAAATCGCGTGCGGGGTCATCAACTGGCTAAGAGCCCAAGGGCAATATTCCCCTTTAAAGAAAAAGCTTTATACCCGCAACAATAATAAAGAACAAAAAAAAAAGGCCGTAGGAAAACAAGCAAAAAGAAGCAACAAAAATTATAGAGACACATAAAATAGAAGAGATTGAACAAAGACCAGAAGTTTGATTAATGGATATTACGCAGGAAAAAGAGGAGGCAATTTAGAGCTCGGCTCGGGCAAAACTTGGTCGAAAGAAAAATTATGAAAATAAATGAAAAAGTTTCCTCAAAACAAGGAAATTGCTCTAAAGTACTAGCGAACTGCTAAGAGGCTAATTGCCGGACTTGACTGATAAAATGGCCAACGAGGAGAGAGCTAAGGCAGATGAAAGGTGAACTTATATCCCCAGAGGGGCCAGAGCAACAGGTAAAGGGCAGATGTCGGATCTGCATACCTATTGAAATAAATATTGTAATAAAGCACTCCAAATTTGAGTTATACTTATACTGCAGTCGGTTTAGTTTTTTTCTTTAAATATAAAACACGTTATTTTCGAATTTAAATATATAATTTTAGATTTCATAAAAAAAGTAAAAGTAACAGTAATTGTAAACTAAATATATTCGTTTTAGTTTAAATTCGTCTACAAATGCACTCCCACTTTTAAAAACCCCTTTTGAACACTGCTTAAAAAACCACATAAAGAAACTGTCAAAAATAACTATAAAATTGCCAGAAGGCCAACAAATGTCAAAACAATTCCAATTTAACTAGCCAGTGTCAGAAGTCAGGCACTTCACTTTGATCCCACTCTCTCTTTCCGTATTTTAGTATCCCCCAGCAGCTTGCCCGCATAACTTTTGCCATTCACCCACAGAAATAAACAAAATAAAAGGCGAAAAAACCCGAAGCAAAACAAAAAGGGTAATAAAATGAAAATACGAGTAACTTTCGCGCTATTAGCTGGCAATTAAAACGGCAAATGAACTTTCAACTCGGCAGACGAGGAGCAAATAGCCAAAAACTAAACCAAGCCAAAGAAAGTAAACAAAACAGGCGATAAAGTCAAAGCCAAAAAACTTCTGGTACTGGCAACAAAAACAGAGACAGCCGCAAATTAGTAAACAAAAGCACAATTGTTTGCTATGTCAAAGGGTGGGGATCGCGGTGCGGGATGTGGGCGTGGTCGTAATCATGGGCGTGGGACTTTTGCACTAACAAAACCAAAACAACGTTGACACCCACCAGAAAAGTTGTATCAATGTTGTTCTTGTTGTGCAATTGTCGGGCTTCCAAAACTCTGGGATAATAAAAGAATACAGAAGAGAAGCCGGCAAAACAATGCCAAATAAAACTGGAACAAAAGTTTGGTTTTCTGCTAGTAGCCCCTCGCCTCTCCTATGATTATAATAAGCCGGACTAGGCCAAAACAAGTCTACTTGGCCAATTCGCATCGAATTTCTAGATGGTTAAATTAAAGGCCTCAGATGGGGCAGCAAGTGGAAACAAGGTCAACGTAGATTCTTGAATTTGATAACAATAATTTGTGGGCCCAGATAAGCTGACACTCAATTTTAAGCCAAACTTAAACAAAGTTTTGCAAGTCAAACCTAAGACTGTGCTTATAAATTTTTTTTTTTTGGATTTATAAACCTTCGATTTTCTTATTTATCTTGTGAGTTCCCATCGAAAGACACAGTTTATTTTGTATAAGAAATGAGCACCTAGACTTTCGGTTTTATAGGACTTTTTCAGTTGACTCAATGTAAAGCCAAAACTAAAACAACATTTTTAAACTCAAACAAAATTCTAATTTAAATATTTTAAACTCAATACACTGTAAATTTGCCCTGCTTTGAGAACTTAAAATTCAAGTAAAGTAACTGTTTTACTATTTTACGTTTCAAGAATTTTAATATGATTTATATGATTAACACTAACAGATTGATATCTTAAGGTAATTAATTTTATTTAATATTTGAAAAAAAACATAATTATTAAATAATAATTAGACTTTTATATTCTATAATTAATTATAATGTATATCGTACACATTCCCAACCTTGAATTACCAGATCTTTAATAATTTATTCTTTTAATTTGGTTTCCTGTTTCGCTTGGACACATTCTAGACTCGTTTTCTTTGCAATAAGAAATGTAGGTACTCATATCGTTCCCAACAAAAGGCTATATTCAGAACCTTATCTAATCAAATTGTTCGGTGGAGGGTTCCGAGAAATTTCCACCTCTGAGTTCCCTTTTCGCCCTGGGTCTATTTGGGTACCCTCTGTTCCCCTCAAGTAATCATCTCGACAGCAGACACAATGGGATAACAAAAGTTTTGCCTCGTCTCTGTCCAGTTCATTCCCTGCCTTTATTCCCTACCCCTCTGTTCAGTTGGCCCATTTGCCCTGACTTTTCGGACGGGTAATTCACGTGGCACTAATTGAATTAGTTAACCGACTTTTGAGTCGGTTTCGTCTTTATCCGTGCACTTGGAAACGATACCGTTAAACATGATGAACTTGCAATAGAATGCAAAGTGCGCAATTAACAAGTTGCTTGAATATACGTAACATCTTAAAGAAAATTTTAAATCTCAGTTTAATAAGTACACCCAGACCAACTCAAGGGCCTGTTGAAAGGTCGGTTTGGTGCGTTGGAATTTTGGATTTCTGTCTGAACTCAACAGCTGCTGCCTTGCACACTAACTAAACAGATGTGAGCAAACAATAAGGGAAAAGTGCGGGGGTAGGGACTTCCTCAATGTCAAATTTCAATTTAAGGCATCAAATTTCAGAACAAATTTGGAATACACACAGGAGTCGCCCAAATAATACACACAAAATTTGGATTAGCTAGTAATAAAGGGAAATATTATTTTATACAATAACTTTTTATTTGGATGTATTAAGCACATATATATTTTAAAGCTTTTATCGGACAATTACCAAATTGGGAGTATAATTTAGATATTAGATACAATAGCTAAATGACACAGTAAATTAGTAGTTCTTTCAAGCGGAAAGTAATCTTAAACCCACACACACCTTTTTAATCGCCTATTATAGTGTTCCAGCAGAACAATGTGGTCCAACTTAGTTTCTTTCATTGGAGCAGTTTTACTTTTTAGATTTGTATTAAATGTGAGCAGAGTGAAAAACAAAAAAAAATGGTAATATGTGACTAAAAATTTATTCATTTTCACAGGAAGCAGTTGTCTTTAAGTTTACAAATTTTGAATGTAAAAGTTACAATTTGTCGTGGTTCGTTTTCCACAATTACCGTCTGAAGGCCGTCAGTCGTGATCGGGTGCTGCTCAATATGAACGGAACTGTTCTACACCCGGTCGATAACATTCAGCTTCATGCCAAAATCTTAAAAAAGGCCAACGGTTTTAAGCCTTGGATACTTGAGTCCACTGTAGACGCCTGCAGATTTATGCGAAAGCGTTACGATCCATTCACGATCATCGTCTACAATATTTTCAAAGAATTCACCAACATCAATCACACCTGTCCGTATGTGGTAAGTTAATCAGAGTCTATCTCTAGCCTAAATTTGGTCATAATAATTCCCTTACAGGGTCCGCAAATTGTCAAAGATTTCTATCTGAAATCGGAACTATTGATTCTGCCCTTTCCATCTGGGGAGTATATGTTAACGATGCAATGGCACTTCCATTCGAAACGGCAATTCGATACAAATGTCAGTTTTATTTATATGGAGGATCTGCTAAAGAGGAATTAGTATTGAATAACAATTAAAAAACATTACAAACCCTTTTAAAATTTCTTCAAAATAAATTGAATTTTTCGAAGCCGATTCAGTAAATAAAAATGAGAACCATTTGACTAAAAAGTAAACAGAACAACTTCTTGTTGCATCTCGGTTAAATAAGATGAAAAATATCTATTTAAAATGAGATTGTATTAAGCCAATTAATACCCACATAAAAATTAGATTAAAATCCAAAAGTTCATGGCAATTTTGTGTTATGAGCTGCGTTAATTACCTGGATCAAATATTAAAATTCAAGGAAAACAACGCTAATTGAAGCAAACTTATGCTCTTAATTAATTTAAATTTTTGTACCTGGTAGCTTTATGAAAATGAAGAAACAACCGAGGAAAGACTGAGAATGGAAGTGTGAGGTAGAGTCCTTGATGCTTGAAGCGCTCGAAAAAGCCCTCAGCAATAAATTAAAGTCAACAAAAGCTAGCGCTGATTAGTTAGCTATCGATGTCAGCCAGGTAAATAACAAAGTTTAACAAATTACGTCAGGCTCGAATCGAAACGGCCAATAAAAAAATTTGCAAATCAATGCAAATGACGAGGCAAACAATGAAGGGCGAAGGGGAGTTGGGAATCGGGGGACTTTGATAGGTGGCCGCACACAAAACCGAAAGCAGAATTAATTAAGCAAAGTGCGAGGGGCAAGAGAAAGGGGGCGGCACCCGAGATTAGCAAAAGATGTCAGTGTGTCACAAGGATGCCGATAAACGAGTTTTTCCCTCTTTCGATTTTGAATATTAGACGGAATTAAATTAGTTTTTTTTGCCATCGAAACAGGAAAAACGGGAAAGTAAGGCCAAGTGCTTATATCGAAGTCTAGATGCTCTGCAAATCATTATAAGCATTCAGTCAATCTTTAGTTGCTGTTGATATAAGTAACGTTTATATTAAGAAATAAAATGCGGTAAAATAAATTTATTTTTGTATTCTATCATTCTCAATTATAGGTGATTTATTAGACATAAAGAATAAACCATCTAAAGCGTCCTTAATAAATGGACTATCTTCTATTACTATTATTATTATTTTACTCTTAAATTAAATTAAATTTCAAATAATATAATTAAAACCAAGTTAATACATTTCATTATTTTGTATAAAATATTAAATATGTATTATGATTATAAATAACATTTTTTTATAAAAACACACATTTACTATTATTTGCAGACCACTTATGCCTGAAATCTTTCAAAAATAAATCTTGTTAAATTAGATTTTAAAAATTGAATTTTATTTAATTCTTTGTGAAACTCTCTTTTGAGCTTGATCTAAAAACTAAATATTTTTATTAGTCTTTGCTACATTATCTTGAGTCTTAATTTTGTCGGCACGCATATGGGTTTTTGATACCTGTTCTTAAGAAAATCATCAATCAGTGCATGGTATCTACACTGCGCCGCAAAACTAGTAACTTATTAATCCAACTCTTGGTTTTTTGATAGACCTGTTGCACACACTTTCCTTCAAATCATATATTAGCCGATGCCGTACGGAATATCCGTTGAACGAAAGTGCCCCTACAGCGGCAACATCACGGCAGCAACACGCAACACACGGCCGCAGTAGCAGCAGCAGCAGCAGCAACAGTTGCTGCAACAAGTTGCACTTGCATGCGGCGCAGTGCACTGAGGCATGCAGGTGGAAGCGAGATGGGGCGAGGTGCGACAGGGATGGCGACACACAGATGCCGAGGCACACAGACAGTATGCTTTAGAATTTTAGTTTAATGATTTGTAACCGGTTTTCGAGGCGGCAACTCCCGTGAGACGGCTGTTTCTGTTGCAGTTGCTGCAGGGCAGACCTTTCCCCCCCCCCCCCCACCACTCGCCGCCTCTGTTTAATTACACTTCTTCCTACGAACGACTAAAAAAATAATAACAATAGCGGAAGTTATACAAAAGCCGCACAACCGGCCGCATAACAAAAAAAAAATAATAAAGAGTGGGTACAATAAAACAACAAGGGTTGAGAGATAAGGCAAAGAACTCGTCGACGGAAGGGCGAAAAAGTGTGGAGTTGCGGCGACTGCGAGCGTATAACATGTGACGAAAGCAGTCGGCTGGATTCGAGTTTAACAACATTTAACTGTTGTTTACACTCTTGATTGCCCTATTCCGTTCTAACTAGTGCAGAAAAAGCTCACACACACACACGTATTCCCCATCTTTTGCAACAACAAAGCCTTTAAAATCTACCCAAAGACTCAATTTAGAAGCGTTTGAAATTAGAAATCTTTGGGAAACTAATTCATTAAAGAAGTGGGCTATGTGAGATCAATTAAAATCGTACAGCAGAAACATGAGTTTTGCTTTTTTATAAATTAATATGTCCGGTACCGAACCTAAACCTTCAATATAATGCAAATATATCCTAAACTGCTGAAATTACGTTTATAGTTTTAATGAACACCTTAAACACACGACATCCACAAAAGTGGAAAACGTGTTTTTGCATACGACTCCCAAATGATTTGTCGCCTGCCTTAAACGCGAAATCCGCGTGAAAATTAAAAAATTGTCCCTCGTTAAACAGGCTTACCTCGAATCCGGACGCAAAAAAAAGGCCATCAGCCATTCAAGTCCAATTGCAAGGCGAGACTTTCCGTTTTTGTTAGTTTTATATGTATTTTTTTTTTGTTGCTTTTCGCAAAGTTGCTTTCAATCAAATCGATTCGAAACGCGCAAAAAGCAAGACTGCAAATTGTAAAAAATTGTGTTTATTATAGACATTGACTTGGCGCACACTTTCACGGCACAATTAATTGGCTAGATTTTTCCCCATCTTGGCCATCCCCCCACTTTATCTTCCTCTTCTGGGCAAACAGCTGGCCAACTTGTTTGCACACATTTCGCACAGTGGACGACGGGCGGGCGCAAAAAAAACTTTCGCTCAAAACGGATGCAGCCAGAAAGAAGTAGGTGGGGAGTTCGGAACTGGTTTCTTGTAACAGGAATTCTTTTTATTTTTTGTTATTTTTGTTTTGCTACTTTTTTCCTCTTTTAATTTTCCATCAATTTGCACATTTCCGCTCGGCTGTGTTTGCGATTTATATAGATTTCTTTTCCTATTGGCCTTCTGGCGCCCGACTTATGCACGAGTTGTTCTAATTTATCTCTGTTGGCCCACAAACAAATATATATTTATTTTTTATTTATCTCGCTCCGCACTTTCTTTCGGCATTTTAAATTGGCCCAAAACGCGATCGGCTTTTTCCTCTGCTCTTTCGCTATTTATAACAGAACTCACGCACACACACACTCCTGCACAACCAGGTGAAAATGAGTGCAGATATCTTCGCTGATCGTACAAATAATTTCGGTTAAATTGAATTCTTTGATTAACAAGTTTCCGTTGGAGCCGCGTATTTATTTTTGGAAACCCTCACACAAATTGAAAACCGCAACTTGGCGCGCCGAAATATATAAATACAATAAAATATATTCAATTATGACAAACTCGATTCCATCCCAAAACAAACAATTAACGTTTTGTTGATGTTTCTTACGAACGCCGACAGTTCTTCTTTATAGTCTATTTATTTATTTATTTATATTTCTTCAAAGCCGAAATTTAACGTCGAGCTAATTTTCGAAAATTATTTGTTCGTAGTTGTTTTTCGAATTTATCAATTTTTAGACGAATTTTGTCCGCGTTTGCAACCGTCGTTTGAAAAAATCGCTCGTTTAAATCGTTTATTTAAACCGTTTTCAGCGACTTGATGTGTTATTCTCTTTCTCCCTCTTTACTTTCTTCTTCTCTAGAGGTGGAGAAACTTCGATGTCAACATCGATTGTTCAAAATATCGGACCTATCGATCGGGACTATCGATGTTTATCCATCCCTATCGAAGAAGATCTCTTTCTCCTTATTTTTCTTACTGCTCGACGTTTCGCTTACATTGAGGTGGAGTTTTTATTATATTTCTTCTTCTATTCTTCTATTATTTCGACGTTTGGCTAACATTTCGCTGTTAGTTCGACGATTTCTAACATTTCTCTGTTAGTTCTACATGTTCGTAACATTGATCTCGATGTTAGTGGAAATATAGGTTTGAGGCAATGCTAACAATGGTTCGAGTCGGAACTAAAACTAAATTTAATTACAACTAATTGTTTTTAAATGAACATATAAATAGATATTTATAATAATAATATATAAATAGATATTAATAACGAAAAGTATTTAGCATTCCTTTCTTTAGTTTTAATTGACATACACAACCTGACATTACTCTTTTTAGAAACAATGGGATTAAATGGGATTTAAAAACAGAGGCTCCTACAAAATAAAATTATTTCTTAAAACAGCAGGTCTATCCTTGACCTTATTTAAAACACCCTTTATTAATTTAATACGCCAGTCGTAGCAGGAGATTGTTGTGAATTATTGTTTAAGTAAATAAAACTGCATGTACATTTATTACACGTAATATGGCATCGAAAGAATTATTTATTGAACTCACTAAACAAAACAATGACAATGACAATGAATTAAGTTAATGAATGACAGAAACGCGCAGCTTACTTGACTATTTGGCAATTTTACTAAGAACACACAGAACACGAATACAAAATATATATGCGGTGGGTTTACATTGCAGTTGGAACACGAGTCACGAGTCTTCCTCTCTTTAGCCTGATAAAAGCACTTATTGCATTAAATAGCCTACGAACTAGGAGTGCGGAGTGCAGAGTGCAGGGGTCAAGAGCGGGTGGAGGGTGTGGAGCAGCAGGCCATGGACACATCCAATGGCAAGTCCTGCGAGAAGGCGAAGGTCGAGGTGCTCGAGGTCTCGTTGAAGCCACTGTCCGTGCGATAGAGCGGAATCCTGGGTCCTTGCTGTGGCAATGCATTCTGGGGTAGCCCCGCTGGCTGCATTGCTCCTGCAGCCGCAGACTGATCCTGATCCTGATCCGGATCCTCCTCCAAATTGGCACTGAACGACTGCGAGAGATTCTTGCGTTGGGCGGAACGATGTCGTCTGTGGCCACGCGGAGTGTCCGAATTGGACGAGCTGCAATTGAAACTCAGGGTGGACAGTTGCATGGCCTCGCCCTCCGCTTCCGCCTCCGTCTCCTCGTCCACCTCCGATTCAGCGCCCTCCTCCTCCTCCTCATCATCCTCTTCGGTTTCCTCAAACAGTGGCTGGTCCGCGGCCTCAATCGCCACCTGTCGTGTGCTGTTCACCCGCAGTCGCCTGACCCGCTGATTAATGCTGCAATCCGAGTGCTCCAAGGCGCCCATCGGCGAGGAGCTCCGGTCCGGCGTGAACTGCAGGGCCGTGCGCTCCGACAACGTGTCCTGGTGCTCTGCTGTGACGCTGACCTCCGCCTTGGAGTACACCAGTCGCCGGCTGAGATGCTCGGACGGAGCAATGGGCGACGGCAGTCCCAGCTCCTGCATCAGCAGTTTCCGCTTCCCCGAGCAGTTGCCATCGTCGGGCGTTCCTGGCGGCAGACCGCATAGGTTTCTAATGGGCGAAAGGCAGCCGAAACTGCCCTCGCCGGAGGCCGAATCCGATAGCCTGCCCGCGAACATGGTCTGCTTGCCCTGCGGACTGGAGCCCGCGATGGGCGATGACTGCTCGCCGTGCTCCTGGTCGCCCAAGACGATGACGTTGTGCAGATCGAACAGTTTCCGGCGCATGGAGCTGTTGAAGATGTCGTGGCCGCCGCTCGATTTGCTCCGGCCGGACAGGCGGGCGGCCAGATGGGGCTGGAAGTAGGGACGCAGTGCATCCTCCAAAGCCTTGGGCAAAATCGGCGGCAGCGTGAGTTCCGTCTGCACCTCGCAGTCCCGTTTGCGCCGCGACTTATTCGATATGGGCGTATTGTCCTCGTTGTGGTTGATTATGATGCGCTGCTTCCGCAGCGGACAGTCCACGGGACTGGGCACAATGTGCGACTCCTTGAAGAAGGCACTGATGGCCAGCTGGGCCCGGGATTCCTGCTCGGGATCGGGGGAGTCGTGAAACTGCGTTTCGTGCGGCTCCAACTCGGCGGGTTTCAGCTGCGAGACTTCGTCAATGTTCCACTCGAATTGCGTGGACGAAAGTTGGGGCGTACGCGAGCGGAAAAGCGACGGACTGTAAGGGAAAATCAGGGGGGGAGGGGGTTTTCAGTAATGAGTTTTTCCCCCCAAGGCAAAACTCACCTGGCAATCGTCGGCAGGTGCAAGCGATCCGCCATCGCGACCTCGAAGGGATTGCGCACCTTGTGCAGCCTCTTTGGGGGCGGGGTGCACACATTTCCACCTCCATTTCCATTTCCACTGCCCGGCATTAGGGGGCTGCGTTTTTCATTTTCCTTGCCGCCGCCATTCGTTGGCGTTGCCGCCGACGCCGTCGAATTGTTGCTGTTTGAGTGGCTATTTCTGCGCGCCCGGCACTTCAGTCCGCTGAGATTAGTGAAATATCGATTCTTGAGGGCTTGCGGCGTTCGCACCTCGTCGTTGTACATATTTTCAAATCTTGCGATTCGCCTAGTTTCGACTTAAATTAAATTATTTTAATGGGCCTGCTGCGATCGCAGGAGGATGTCAGTATTTTCAAATGCTGCAGTGTTGGTCAGCGTCGCAGCGGAGTTATCGAATCGTTGGCGATTCGAAAAGGAGGATGCAAGATTGAAGTGTTACTATACGCAATCGTTAGTTTTAGCTTAAGTTATTATTAAACATTCATTATTTTATTTATTTGCATTGCTTGCAAAAACCTTTAGGCGATTATACAACTTTCAGTATTTTATGATTGCGCGCCATTCGCTGTCTGATATCGATAGTATCGATCATCCGTAATCTGTGGTGTAAATCCTGGCTAAATACTAATTTATCTGGTTTGTGTCTCGTCTGACTGTGGACTAAGTCATCGCTTAATATACTAAACTTGGTATTTTACCACGCCCCGCCAACGGTCACACTGCCAGCTGTCTTCGCCGTTCTGCTCCTCCACAAACACATACACGTCGGCTAGATGCGTGTTGTGTGTGTGTGTGCAGTGCGAAACAGAACCGAAACCGAAACAAGAACCCAGAAAAGCAGACGAAAAATCACACAAAAATCTAACAAATTCGCTGCAGAACCAACTGCAGAATTCTATACGGCCGGGCGAACCGCTAAAGTGGCCAAAATTCGGCGAAAACAGCGCAAGTGTGACAAAGCATTCGTGCCAGTGCAGCCGACGGCGAAACGGGCGAAAACAAAAGAGAATAGTGTTGATAGTAATTCGAGCGTATTTAGCAGCAGCAGCCAGAGCAGCGGCGTCAGCGCAGGCAGCGACGCGGGCAGCGGCAGAGGCAGCGAAAAGCAACGGCGGGGGGGTGGTGGGTGCGGAAACGGGCCGGGGAACGGCCGAGAACGAAACAGTGACAGCGACAACAACTACAACCACAACAACAACAAATGCCGGTCGGTTTATCACCTCCGATCTAATCAAAACGGTTAATAGCAGGCAAAAAAAGGGCCAAAGCCCCCTAGATGCCACAACTAGTTTACGTTTATCCGACTGCTTGCATACCGTGCAAAAACTTGCTATTGAACTTGAGAGCTGCGACGCCAACGCCAGCAGCGACGCCGACGCCAGCAGCGCTGTCATGTCAGAGACGGGCTGTCGGCATTATCAGAGCTACGTGAAGGAGCACAGCTACGATACATTCCGGGTCATCGACGCCTACTTCGCTGCCTGCGTCAACAGAGATGCGCGCGAGAAGAAGGTGAGTGGGAGTGGTAAAGGGCAAGAAATTGCGAGAGGTGATGCAGAGGTGAGAAAGAGCGAAAGGCAGAACGCAATCAGAGATGCGTCATTATTTGCATAACCGTGAATTGTTCGCGGGAAAGGTCACTGACACTAATGATTGTAGATAAATTCGCAGAGCAACTTATTTAAGTTTTTAAAGATGCGCAACAATCAATAGAGAAGTTATGTTTATTTTTAAACTATAAATTGCATTAAATAATTTGTTTATGCTAATATATAGGTATAGTCCCAGCCGTGATTGATTCAGTTTTAAAGTTTTGTGGATCTAGCAATTATATTACTCCATTTATAGTACCATAAAAACGATGTGTCAGTAATTTTCTCAATATTTAAAACATTTGTGCGTAAAGACATTGTTTTCCAAACATTTTTTCAAAATCAGACGATTTTTTTTTTTTTAATCTACAAATTTCCCAAATTGTAATTCTTTATCAAATATGTGTAACTACCTGCTACATACTTTCCATATTCCCGTAAAATATGTGAGGTAGAAGCAAAAACTAAATTTGAAATTAGGTGTCATATACATTGTATATGATATTGTTTTTCGATTTTAATTCTTATTAGAATATTAAAAATAAATTAAAAAACAGCAAAGTCATTATTTGTTTTCATAATTCTAAATTGCCTTTATGGGAGCTATATGATAAAGTCTCATTCTTGCTACTTGTAACTGAAAAGCCAACTTTTAGGATAATTTATGCAGACAGCTCTAAAAATGTGTCCTTTACTGCGTTGCAAACTTTTCACTGAAATTATTATACCTTTGCAAGGGTATACAAAGAATAGAAAAATGTAGGAAACTATCAGTGGTTTCGGCAGATTTTGATTAATGTTAAAGCTGTCAGGCAGCTGCACTGGGGATGATAATTTCTGTGTGAACCAACCCTCCCTTAATCAGATATTTACACTTCCAGAGGATATTATGCTTAAGTCAGTAGTTTGAAAAGCATTGTACGACTTATCTATTATTAGGCTATATTTATATTATTTGGTTGAATTTTTGGGGCTTTTATTTATAAATTTTTTTTTAACATTTATATAACAGAATTTAAATTGTGGAATTTAATTACATTTTTAATCATAAATTGTAAATTGTAAATTTTATTACATTGTTTTATGCACAAAGTATGTGCCACTTTAGGTTTTTTTGAAAAGATTTCAAAGATTAATTTTTAAATTAATTTTGATTTAAGGAGCATTAAATCAAAGACTTCTCCAGATCCCGTACAAACTAATTAAATTAAAAGATACCTCCGTTAAAAAATATCTTCAAATTAAACTTCTAATTTATTTGTTATAAATGTCAACTAGTTTTTGTCCACCTATCCAATTATTTTTTGGGTGTTGTATTTTTTATAACCCCTTTAAACCCTCAGGCGATCCACTGCAACTGCTTCGAGTGCGGCAGCTACGGCATCCAGTTGTACGCATGCCTGCACTGCATATACTTTGGATGCCGAGGGGCCCACATCACGAGTCACCTGCGATCCAAGAAGCACAATGTGGCCCTGGAGCTGTCGCACGGAACGCTCTACTGCTACGCCTGCAGAGATTTCATTTACGATGCGAGGAGCAGGGAATATGCGCTGATCAACCGCAAGCTGGAGGCCAAGGATCTGCAGAAGAGCATCGGTTGGCAGCCGTGGATACCGACGGCCAAGGAGACGAATCTTCTGCTGGCCAACGCAAGGCGCAGGATGGTTAGGCCCAATCAAACCATCGGACTGAGAGGACTGCTCAATCTGGGGGCCACCTGCTTTATGAACTGCATTGTTCAGGTGGGTTTAGTTTCATGAATCCACTAATCCTCTAATTTCTTAAAATAATCCACTTTATTGCTCTCCAGGCTTTGGTTCATACTCCCCTGCTGAGCGACTACTTTATGTCAGATCGCCACGACTGCGGCAGCAAGTCAGCGCACAAATGTCTCGTCTGCGAAGTTTCGCGTCTCTTCCAGGTGAGGCAAAGATACTTATTGCTAAAGCCTCCTTTACAATCAGAGAGTCTTTCTTTTCTTAAAGGTCAAGATTAAGATGATTTTAATAAAGTATACAATTGTCAATGGGTATTATAAAGCAAAAGCAAATTTTTTTTATTTACCCAGATTATTTTAACCTGAAACAAAAAATAATTTAAATATTTTATAAATGTTCTTTTTGTTTTTTTTTTTTAAGGAGTTCTATTCGGGTTCCCGTTCGCCGCTGTCGTTGCACCGGCTACTGCATTTAATTTGGAACCATGCGAAGCACTTGGCCGGCTACGAGCAGCAGGATGCGCACGAGTTCTTCATCGCCACTCTGGATGTGCTGCATCGGCACTGTGTGAAGGCTAAATCGGAGCACGAGAGCAAGAGCAACAGCTCCGGCTCGGGCAGTGGAACCAATTCCAGTAGCTCGAGCAGCTCGCATTGCTATGGTCAGTGTAATTGCATCATCGATCAGATCTTCACGGGCATGCTGCAGAGCGACGTGGTGTGCCAGGCCTGCAACGGAGTGTCCACCACCTATGATCCGTTCTGGGACATTTCGCTGGATCTGGGAGAGACGACAACGCACGGGGGAGTTACGCCCAAGACCCTGATCGACTGTCTGGAGCGGTATACCCGCGCCGAGCACCTCGGCTCGGCGGCCAAAATCAAGTGCTCCACCTGCAAGTCCTACCAGGAGTCGACCAAACAGTTCAGTTTGCGCACTCTGCCCAGCGTGGTGTCCTTCCACCTCAAACGCTTCGAGCACTCGGCTTTGATCGATCGCAAGATCTCCTCGTTCATTCAATTCCCCGTGGAGTTCGATATGACGCCCTTTATGTCGGAGAAGAAGAACGCCTATGGGGATTTCCGGTTCTCTTTGTATGCCGTGGTCAACCATGTGGGCACCATCGACACCGGGCACTACACCGCTTATGTGCGGCACCAGAAGGACACGTGGGTCAAGTGCGATGATCATGTGATAACGATGGCATCACTCAAGCAGGTGCTGGACAGCGAGGGGTAAGGATACTTATGCATTTCTTTTAAATAAGTTTTTGTATTGAGAGTAAACAAAGCTTATAAATTATTTTAAAATTTTTTCAATTTATTCATATTTAAGATAAACTTAGGGAAATTAATATAATAGCAACATTTGAGCAAATCGAATTCAATGGAATTGCCATTTTCAACTGAATAAAACTTGGGAATTTCAAAAACAAACAAATTCCAGAAAAGCCATTTTCGATAGTCTGCTAAATTATCTAGAAATCTTTATTAATGCATTTTGTTTCTTTCTTATTTCAGTTATTTATTGTTCTACCATAAAAACGTGCTGGAATACGAATAGGGGACATCCGTTAGGATCCATTGAAGCGACTGTATCCCTAAATAACACAAACAAGCCGAAAACCATGCTTTACGAATAAACAAACACACAAACAACAGACAAGACCGCGGCAGCGCTTACGAATTAAGTAATCTTAACGCAAAAAGAAACAAATCCTATACTGAGCGTTCCCTCGATTGAGGTTAATTAAGTTCACATACTCAAAACATTGGAACAATCGAAAACAAAAAAGAAATTATTGAAAATTGTAATCTGATCAATCGATATGTGGGGATACCCGTTTTGTTCTAAGTATTTCAAATCCATAATACTAAAAACTAAAAAATGATATAAACTAAACAGTTGGCTTATACATTTATATATACACATTAAACCAGGGATATGAAACAAGCACACAATTAACTTAATATTGCAGACGAAGACAGTGTTATCAGTTGGGCTGCTATGAAATGTTTTTTTTTTTTTTAATTTAGTGACACATTTGTTTACACTGATGAACAAAAACAAACATTTGGCCTTCCGGATTATTTATTTATTTTTTAATTTTCGATCTCTACCTAATCAGAATCTTAAAAACTATTGTGAAGTCAGTATTATTATGAATATTGTTTGACACTGTGATTTAAGAGTTCATACTGTTTTTGAATAACTATTTTTTCGTGCGGAAAATCAAAGCTCATCCACCTATGGCCACAATACGCTTAGTTAAAAAGAAGAAGAGGTAAACACTAATTATTACTAAAAATTAAAAAAAAATTTATTTCGACATCACTTGGGCTCGTCCGGGAATTGAACCCGGGACCTCTCGCACCCGAAGCGAGAATCATACCTCTAGACCAACGAGCCGTCGGTACGCTGAGCGTTCAGAATGTCGGTTTTCAACATGCGGTGCCTCTCACTCCACTCCATTGGCCAACTGCTCTTAGGAAAGCCGTGTCTGCGGGAAAGGGACAACTGTAGTGTGCGCGGTGGTTCGGAAATGTGCTAATTTAGCCGATACATAAACCATCTGCTTTTATATGTTCAAGACTTTTCACTTTAAGTCAATTTAAAAGTTCCCAATCTTTTTGCCCTAATACAATACTAAAATTGTTCTCCGAATCAAAGAAAATTTAAAAATCGTGAGGAAATCCTATGATAATAAGATTTACAGTAACAAATTAAACAGTTATTAAAAGTTTCTGGAGGTTTCCATAAACGAACAGGACATCTCTCAAAATATTTAGCCAAATCAAAATCAAAATTAATTAACATTTCACGAAAAATATTATTATTATTTAAATTACAATTTTTAAAAATATTTTAAGGTCAGATTAATAATGTCGCTAAAACTCCCATCGACATCAATTTCAAGCATTTCCAAAATATTATAGGCCTCAACGCATCTACACATCTCGGAATTTGGTATTTCAGCCAACTGGGAAAATAAATATCTTATTAAAGAAGAAAATTATTTACGTAACACTTACCATACGTTGTATATTCAGAAATTCATTCTGCGAAATGGTAATTTCGAATGGATTTTTTGATGTGACGCCATTTTCTCTTAGTATGTTAACTAACGAATTCATAAATTCGAAGGAAATTGTTCTATCTGATACTGAAATTTCAAGTTTGTACATTTTGTCGCACTTTGATAGAAAGTCAAGAAGTTTATTTTCTTCAAATAATTCTTCTGTCAATTTCAAGCTTTGCAAATTGTTTGAGTGCCTAACGATCCACTTGTAAAAGTAATCCATTGAGTGACATTTAGCATACTTTAAACTCAAGTAAAAACCCGCTTATGATCTTGAGGTTGCAGCAATGTTGCTCGATTAATTATAAATATTGAACGTCTAAGCCAACAACATTTATTTCATCAACGTTTGGGCCATAAACCATCAAGAAGTCCGATAAAGTCCAGCGATAAAGTCCGAGATGAAATTTTTTTATATTCATTGCGGCAGTGATAGGCAAAAGCCGATTGCAAAACCTGATTAGCTTGGGCTAGTTTTAGCCTATCTTTAAAACTTAGCTCATCCAAAATTCGGTCCAAAATCTCCAATGGCAAATCTAATATGTTAGTGGGATTCTCCATTTTTAACTGGAATGAAAATAAATCAAAGCTTGTTTAAACTAACAAAGTGAAAATTCAGGGCTGGTCACTCACCGAACTGTCGTGGAATTGGAGCACCTTGTGAATCACCTGGAGCCAGCTGTTGTGGTCTCCAACTACTGCAAATATCGTCAAAGTTTTTGACAAATTACTATAGTTCTTGCTCTGCTGGTCCACTGTTGGCTACTTAATTTTTTTAAAAACAGAATAAGTCGGGAAAACTTAAAAAAACGCGTGGGAAGCGAAACCCACGCCGGCTGAACAGAAAATAAACAAAACTAGGAGTGACGATTGTCAGCTGATCGGAACCGGATCCGGAGCGAATTGTTCTGCACTTAGCTTAAAGCTTTGTCTTGTGGCTGCCTTCAATAAAATTAGCTTACTTTGAAAAAAAAATATTTGCATACGGCTGGGCGTGTAGATAACAGTGATAACTAAGAACACGCTTAAAACTTTTTTCTTAATATAATAGTGCGAGACCAAGGCTTTAAACAGTAGTTTTGATCGATATCGGCAGTGCAAATAATTTTTTAGGGATATATATGCGCCATGGCAAGTACGCCTTATTTATAAGTGTTCAGTAAAATCTTTCCTAAAAGAAAATTATTTATTTATCCTACTTGAGCGGCGGATCAAAGAAGATTGATAAAGAACCAGTAAAATGCTCCATCCCTGACCTAAAAAGCCGATTTCAATTAGTCAGTAAATCGGAAACTTTACAGCACTGCTACAGAAAGGAAAAAGTTTTTGTTCAATCAGATCGTACAGGTTGAAAATGGAATTCCAGAAACACTTCAAATCCAATTATAATTTAGGAACTGGACCTGACCGTGTAAAATTTTGCATATGCGAGCGTAGTCGTAAAAATGTGATTGTCTGCAGCCGCTGCAAACAGTCATTTGTGGGCCGCATTTCGCAACGCTGTCCAAAACACCCCGAAGTAAGTAATGAACTAGTAAAAAACGGTAAATAATCTATCATTTATAAAACTGCTATGTAGGTGACTTTTCTTATGGACGCCCGTCAATGCGCTTTCTGCGGTGCCCATGCTAATTTCTTGCAAGTATCCGAGACCAAGCGCTGAAATGGGATATTCTCAAAAACACTGACTTCGTTGACGAATCTGCTATTACATAAACATTATTATGTATACAAAAGTGCCAATAAGTAAATAAACAGAAAATTGTTATTAAACTGAGTTTTTATATGGATATTCTAATGTAAGATTTAAAACAGTATTTAAAATTAAAAAGGTTGTTAAAAATTTAGTTTATTTAAGTTTATGATTTCTAGCGAATACTGTAGTGTAAGCAAAGCAAAATGATTTAATTTAATTTATTTATTTTTTAGCATACTGATTGTAATAGTTTGAAAATGTATGTATTTCATTGACCTCGGTTAATATGTGCACTGTTTCCAGGGGTCACTGTAATGCAAACCTTTCTCTGTCACCTCTTGCGTTTCACAACACTGCCAAGCGCCGTTACTCAAAGTTGGCTTCACCAAACAATTTTTGACATCCAATTAAATTAAAAATGCTCGAATTACTAATATAAGCACTCATATTCTGGAAAAGCTGGCTTTTAAATATTTGCCCCGGTGTTCAAGACTTTGACTTTTGTGTTTACATCGAAGCGATAACGATAAGTCGTAAAAAAAACGATGCCATCTTCCAGAAAATTCGGTAATTTTAGCTTTGTTTTGTAGTGGAATTCACCTAAGATGTATATGTATATGTATTGCAGCCAACAATGGCACCGATCCGGATTCCATAGCCGCTCGACTTCGGCAGCGCTACGGGAATCTCACGGCCCCATCGGTAAAGCAAGTCACCATAATCAAGAAGCCGATGGCAATTTCAATCAGCAACATGCCGCTCACGGAACAGGAGGCCGAGCAACTGGAGTACCTCGAGTTCGAGAGGGATCTGAGCAACATCCGGAACCGCAATCCTCAGATCCAGTCGGAGGAGCAGCCGAAGCTCAAGTACGATCTGCCCGAGGAGTACAAGAGCACCAAGCTCTGCACCTGCATGCGTCCGCACACCGCTTACGAATGCGATCGTTGCCATCAGTACATCTACGGGCGCATAGCGGAGGTTTGTGAGAAGCATCCCCATGTAAGTGTGCCTCCGATTAGATAATATAAATAATAATATAGAATTTTTGACTATATGGGTGCCCAGATTCAGTTTAAAAGCTATTAAAAGTGTATCTTTTCCAAATGCTTTATTTTTTAAATAAGTAGATCAAGTTATGCAATAGATAATAGTATATATATGGCAATCGGATTCCTTAGTATTTTTTATCGTCTTCACAGGAAAAGGGTTTTAAAGGTCAAACAAGGGATACATTTCTGATATTGTTTTTTTTAAATTCGAACAATGTTGTGCAACTTATTTTTTATACATGTTGCGGTGAACATCTTAGGGCATCACAGGATCATCTCAAAAATATAGATCATATTGCGTTTGAATTCGGAAGTTTTTGCGCTAGGACGTTCGTCGACTGCATAAATGACATGTGTGGAAAAACCTACTTAAAGTTTTTTTTTTTAAATCCAACATAAAAACGTGGTCGAGGGCATATATAAATCAAAACTTCAATCTCTGTAAACTCGGTATGGTGATGCATAATTTTCTTTCCTTCACTTTGCCAAGTCAAACGCTTGAATAAATATTTTATTTGTTGTACATATATTATTGTTAGGAATTTATTAGAAAATGTACTATAATGCGTTATTTTCTGTACCTTTGCTATTTAGCTAAATATTATTTTTTTCGCACAAACTTAATAGGAATTTTTCCTTATGGATCTCCGATCCTGTCCATATTGTATTGCCCCGATCGATATGTTAAAAAAGGCGCCTATCAGCTGGGAGGATATACGTAAAATTGAGGAGGCTGAACTTCCCGCTGATGAGGACCTATAAGTAAGAGTTTGAGACTCAAGTGCATGTTACATGTTATATTATTTCATGTATAACTAACAATAAAATATATATTTATATATATACATATATATCTATATTCGGAAAAACAATAGAGTTTTTCAACTGATAAGAGGGCATTGTCTTGGGAGTTGTCTTAATGCTCAAGTGCATTTTTAGGTTTAGCCCGTGGCCCACATGCCACGACTCTCTTTTTCAGCGCGACATTTATGGAGTGCACACATAAGCTGTCATAAAGGAGCTGCGGCACGGACATGAGTGCCATAAACCCTTATCTCCTGGTCTCTGCAGATTGACACTGCGGCAGTCACTCGACGCAAAGTGCATAGAAACGAAGTGCCTGTCCTTACAGCTGGTTTCAAAATTATAGTGGCTTTGGTAAGTTGTATAAAATCAATAGAATTTTTACTCTTGCATTTAACGATTTTATGTAAATTTGGTTGTATAAAAGGTACATTTGTAGAGTCCAAATGATGAAAATCACTTATTTTATTAGGTTCCATTTTATACAGCATTGTCACACTTTTTGTGAGGTATTATTTTTTTTTCCACACACACAGTCCTGTTTTGTTAGCAGCAAAAAATTTCTTGTGCTTGCGTCACCTTTTTATCGGTGTTAACTGCAAAACTGCGCTCCCCCGATATCAGGTTAGTATATAATATTTCTATTTTGTAGTCTTGCGTTAACTTATCAGCCATCTATCCATTGCAGTGCTGATTCCCAGGGACGCCCCATTCAAATCAGCGAACAAATTCATGTCACCGATAACAATTCAATCACTTAAGAGTTCAGCACATTTTGAAATCGCTTTACAATGCCCCAAGCCAAGTCCCCCTGGACACATTGTGGTGTCATCCTAAGTTCTTCGTCCTGCGATTCTCTGGATAACTCCTGCTGGTAAGTGGAGAAGCTTTAGATAGCGTTTGCCTCTACTTATTTTCTATTTTTCTCACTTCTCACTTTTCAGACTCCCTGCGCTGCAGTTTTCTCAACAACTTGGCAAGCCATTCAATGGATTCACTTGTTCTTGGACTTCCACTTGCAGTTTTTGTGCATCCGCATTCTGGTGCTTCAACAGGCGGACATGGTAAATCATTGCGGCAGTGGATTGTCCGAACTTCTGGCTTAGTCATTGCTTCTTTCGACTTCGCTTCTCCGTCGATTTGAATGGGACAATGCCCGCAGTTTGGTTTGCTGTCAGTTTGGGACCTTATTTTCCATGCACTTATGATAAGTTGTAATGATCTGGAGCGGTAAGTTATAAAGTTATAAGTATTTCTGGTAGTTTTTGTAAACTTATGTAAACTGATGGTGGTAATATGATGTACCCATCTGCAGACAGTGTTAGGGATTAATCAGACTTAAAATTTTATGATTATTAAATTCTTTGAAAGCCATTGTTGATTTGTAACATTTAACTATTAACTATTCAGTTTCATTTAATTGCAGTAATTAATTAACAGTTTTCCTCAATTTTACATTTATTCTTTCAAACTAGCAGAAAACTTGTCACCATATTCAATTGCCAACATTGTCATTGTCGCCTTAAAGAAAACTAACTATTATCACAACAAACTTTGCTAGAGGTCTGGCCTCGTTCTTTTTAGCGGCTTTTGCACTGCTTTGGTCAACAGCTGCAGCTCTTAGTTAACTTGTTAATGCTTAACTACGAATCGCCTTTTCAATGGCTACATAAACAACATCACCGGCACTTCCCTTCTGTGTCTGTGAGGCCTTCATCCGGCAATGCCCCTTCCCCCTTAACCCTTTTCAAAAACAGCTCCGACTTCGTTGACGGCAGCAGCAAAAGGATTCGGTCCAGGCCGGTCTCAGCTTCCATTTCAGCCAGTTGTCCTGCCAGTTTTCCTGCCTGAAATGCGAGTGTCTTTTGCCTGCTGGCACTTTGGAATAACTTGGACAATTGCTTTCATGCTGATTTCGTTTCGCTTTGGCCCCTCACTAAACCTAGTTTAAACCTTTAAACTCATTTAAAGTTCCAGATCAACTTTGCTGTGCATTAGTAGCTCAGTTTAGGGATACCTCTCCAAAAATATTCCAATTAGTGTAACAGGCCTTAAGCGTTTGCATATCTCTCTTATTAGTGAGTTTTGCAACTGTTTGAACAAGGGATGCAATTTCAATTTTTTGGATTACTTTAATCTACCCTGATATTGCACATATGGTGTATTTTTATTATCTCTGGATTAAAAGTAAGGTCTTTATTTCATTCAGCTTGAATTTAAATGCTCTTTAGTTTATAAAATAGGCCAGCAAGTCTTTAAAAGTAAACACTTCGGAACTTTTAAATGATATGTTTTCCAACAATTTTTCAAAGTTTAACTTTTAAAACGATCTGGGTCACCGGTCCTTTGCATCCCTGTTTTAAAATATTCATAAAAGTCTGTCCGTTGCCTCTTTAAATCACATGGCTGCACCCTTTATCTGACTGCTGGATGCAAGATAGACAAAGTTGGCGCTAGTACGTCGGCCTGGCTATTGTCCTTCGTGCCCTGCTTGACTGCTGCAGTTGTCCTCTTTCCATTATTGAAGTGTGCACTTCCGCAAAATGGTATTTGGAGCAAGCACATAAGCTTAACCCCCCCTTGGAGGCTCCCCTGCCAATGGTAGAACTGAATTTAGTGGCACTTGCAATTTTTACGGCAAACAATGAAAGGAACACCGTGGTGAAGGAGCTGTATTCGTCCCTCGGGCGATTGCTATTTATTTATATGCCTTACTAATGGCGGCAATAATACAGTTTTATATTGGCATATTAGGCTAGACAAGGTTTCTTAAATATTTGCTGGCGTTCATGTATCCATTTGGATATCGCTGTAAAGGGAAAGAAATATAATAATTATCTAATAGTTTTACGTACAGAGTATTATTCGAAACTTACTCCATCTGGAACCCATTACGACAGGACAAACTGAGTGCTCAGTTAGGGGATCAGGATCCCCAGCATGATTCAAGTTAAACCAAATCAAGGCATTACCCTTTTTGGGTTCTATGGATAACTTTAGTTTTGTAAATACAGTAGTTCCACCCAAGGGAACATCGGTTGCCTAGATACAAGAAAAGAACATTATTTTTATAGAACAAATCTGGGCTAATTTAAATTATCTAACTCGGTAAGCAAAAGACTAAACTGTGTTTTTTCTACACGTGCTCATGAAGATATTACCTTAAGTATTATTTAAGGTATATAAGATATGCAAGTAACGCACTTACGTAGAGTAAAGCTGTAGCTATTCGATCTCCTCCATACTCAGAAAAAAAGCCTGGCTGCAAAAATGTTAATATAAATATATACAATTATTTTAATAAGTTAATTAAAGCACTTACCGGGCGGTCGGCCAACTCCACGTAGTCCACATGCTTACCAAAATGACCGCCCAGACCGTAATTGGTCAGATAGAGAGCCATGTTCTCGAGCATTTCCAGGCCACTCATATCTGCAATTCGTCGATTGATACTCAGGGTAAAAGGAGCAATGGTGCCCTGAAAGGTAACCATTTTAACCACAGAATCTTGCGGTTTTGGCTTTCCGTTTTTGTCAAAGTTAACATATGTCCAGCCATCTTCCATGGTGGCATTAAATATGGCAATGTCCCTCATTTGCTTGAATTCCTGCTCGTAGAGCACGTCGTGGTAAAGAAGTACCAAAGGTTGCAGGCTTAGAAACTCCAATTTGAGTGGCGCTATCTTAAGAAATGGAGATGTCTCCTTGTTATAGCGACACGTTAGTTGGGACGATGTATTCTTCGGCCATTCTCCACGACAGCCGCGCTCTAGTTTAGTTGGCTTACGCTTTCGTTTGGCGGCTTCGTCTTGAAATATCTTCTCGTCTCCTGTTAGGTATTCATCAATTAAGTTTTTAACGTTGTCATAATTGTCTTCCCGAGTGACCTCTTTGGCCATGCTATCCCATTCAGATTTCTCTGTCGAAGTGATCTTAACTTTATCCAAGGTTAGAGCTACAAAAGAGATTTAATATATTTTAGTTTTTAAATAAATTAGATCATCGTTCTCTTCATCCAAAACTCTTTAGTGAAATTGAGTGAAATGAAGAAAAACATTGGAATTTTTCGTTAAATAAATGGTAGTAACTGGTATAACAATAATGACGAATAGATTTGTGATTTTGTATAAGTTCATAGGAGATATTTCGGTTAGTAAGCTAAAACAACAAAAAAGTATTAAAAAAGGAATTTAAGAATTTAATTATTAAAATTTTGAATGATTGCAGCCCGGAAATAAACTTACATTCTTTGAGCAATGCCTTGGCATATTTTTTGTAGATTTTTTTCCTCTTCAAACCCAAAACTTTTTCATAGAGTTCGCCTTGGGGAAACTCATGAAGTCTTAAAGCCATGCGATACCAGTGAGTGGATTCGGAGAATCGTGATTGATTGTAGTGAAAATTAGCCAAGGCGTTACAATCAGGGGCAGTCAAATGGGAGCTTAAATAAATTGTCTAGATATGTTATTTAATAAAAAACGAAATATTGACTTACTTAAATTTCCTTCCAAGTAGGAAACCCTTTGACAAATCGTCTGCATGTTGATTATAAAATTTTTCGATCCGCGTCATTCCTTTAAGGGCAACATTAAGGTCATCATCAATTGGAGCAGACTTCAATTGCAATTCCATTTCTTTGGTGTTCTTGGTTGCTATCGCCAGTTTCAGATATCTTAGCCACTTGGGCCAATCTTGATTGAGGCGTCTCACCAAAGGAAAGGCATTTAAAGGATTGGCCATATACTCTTCCTTCTCGGCCAGCGTGTTGAAGCTTTCCCTCTTTAACGACTCCTGATATCTACGAATATCTCGTATTCCAAATGCAAATAACTTTATTCACTATTTTAAGACTTACAATTTAATCTTATCCACCTTAGACTGCATAGCTTGTAAGTATGCCTCAAGGTTAGCTTTTAAAGACTCTTCCATTTCTAAAAGTTTTACCATGCTCATCACAGAAGTGCTGTATATCATTTTTTCCTCTGAGCTGTTTTCATCATTGCCAAAGTTTTTCGGAACAGAAATTAATAAAAGACTGAGCTGAAACACAAACGTCTTCATCTTAGCTTAGGTCTTCTACTGCTTTCGTTTTCTATTTAAATGAGCAGGTAAAGCAACGATTTCATGGTCTATTGGTTATGGTTGTTAAATTTTGTAGTTTCGGAAAAACATGTTTAAGAAAAATAAACTGTAAACTTGTCTGAATACAATACATTTATAGCTGAAGCAAAAAAATTGGTATGGATATAACAAAGATAGCAAAATTTTTATATTTAACTGCGTTAAAATTATTTTTTAATACATGTTTTGTAAGCTAAATTCGGGTCCCTTTTAAAATGGTTGGGGAATAGAATTTATACCTTAAGGCTTAAGTTTGTGAACTGCAAATATTAGTTGCCTTTTATGATTTGCATGGCAAGATAAACATTTGAGGAAACAAGGGGACCCATTTCGTTAGAGCTGAAATATAGTATTTCTTAGATGTAGTAAAAATCTGCCAAACGTGTGCAACCTACTCCATCTATCTCCATTAATGACAGGACATACTGAGTGCTGGCTTCTTATATCAGGAGTTCCGTCATCAAACAAATTGAACCAAAACAAACTGCTCCCTTTTCGTGGGAAGACAGAGACTTTTATCTGTGGAAAAACTGTGGCTCCACCCTGCGGAACATCGCTAGCCTGCAAAATTAGGTATTCAAATGAATGTGATTAAAAATTACAACTTTGTAACAACTAACTAATACATCGCTTGAACTCACATAAAAAATAATGCTGGCCAAACGACCTCCCAATGCCGAAGCATCCGGAGTCTCAAATCCGTCGGAGGTGAAGTCAAAGTGAGGTTTGAAAAATGTCCCCACCCCATAATTTGCGACCTGCAATCTCTCGGATTTCGAAATATCGAATCCTGTCATGTCAATAATGCGCCGATTGATACGCTCCCGGGCTCTGATTTCTGAGCCATTTCTTGTGTCCGCATAGCCATTGGCCATATTCGCCGACTGCATTTTGAGACCCTTAATCTCCGAATCGTAAAGCACGTTGTGATACATTCCAATATATGGATTTAAGTTGATTTCCTCAAATTTCAGAGGTGCCAATCGCAGGAAAGGAGTCGTGGTAAACTTGTAGCGACACACGAGTTTTGGTTTCCGGCGGTACAGTCCTCGACAGCCGATTTCAAATTTCGATGGTTCTCTTTTTGTGTGATAGAGCTCTCGTTCTATTTGCACATCGTTTTCGGGGCTGTTCAGCCTTGCCATTATTCTATTCAAATCCTCTTGCTTTATGTCTGCCATAGAATTCTCCACTGCTATGAAAGCTTCTTCAGCTGTGTGCGAAGGGTCTGATTTACAACTTTCTTAAATTTTATATGAACTGAACCATTAGAACAAAAGGAATTAGAACAAAAGGAATTAGTTATAAATATATGATTTACCATATATGAACAACGATTTGATGTATTGGCGATGGAGGTATTCAGATGGATTGCCCAGAATTGTATAAAACAACGCATCACTTTCTTCCAGCTCGCTTTTGCAAGCCATACGATACCATTTTGCAGCTGCTTGGTAGTCGTGTTGTTGGAACATCAGATTTCCCATAGCTATAAGGTCGCGATAGGTGAGTCGAATGCTGCAGGAGAAGAATTTTATTCACAATTTTAATAACATTAGTTTTATTGGGATTTAAGTATACTCGTATTGCTTGTCGTCAATGAGACCGTGTGCCATATCATCGATCCTTAGGTCATAAAATCTTTCTAATCCTTGAATTCCATGCATTGCCGACATCAAATCCATATTGTTTGGGACCTTTTCTACAAGGTTGTCCAGTACAGTGAGGTCTGCGGCTTTTTAATTCGGGATTAGAATGGCTAGAAGTTTAAGTTTATTAGTATAAACCTTTAAACTTAATACGCACCCCTTCCCATTTCCTTCTTAAAAAAGGTGAGCCACTTTGGCAAATCCTCATGGGTGCGTCTTAAAAGTGAAAATGCGTTCAACGGATTAGAAACATATTCGAATCTTTCATTGAAGCTGCGATTTAATATATAATCCACTGCAGATAAGTAACTAAGATCGGATTTTTGTTTGACTAACAATCGAAATCAATTTAAATTTATGTAATTACTCTTGAAGTTTAGGGATTTTTTGTTGTTGTTTTCCTGCGAAATTTAAGAGGTTTTCAGCAAAATCTTGTTCCACACTCAGCAGCTTCAAAAGACCCACAGTTGATGAGCTGTATCGTTCTTTTCTTTCATCGTTGAGTTGATTTTTGGCACCCTTAACAAAAATTTGTACTGAGAAGAGGAGAACTATGAGTAAACTTAGGCACTTTGTCATTTTGACTAAGGAGAAACAAGAGAAATTTTTGACTGATCATAATGCATTTTCTAAGGTCGCAGTTGACCTAATTGATTCGATGCGTTGTATAATTTTCTTTCAGATAAATCTAAACAAAATAATAAACAAATAACTAAAATGATTTTATTAAATTAGTTATAAAAACATATTTTTAATTTATGTTATTACATCTAAAATAAGCGTAAATTTATTTTATGTTGCATTTTGGTCGGAAAATCAGTGTACAACATCCACATCTTTGGTAAGAACTAAGCACATAAAGAAAACATATATTTAATTAATGTTGGATACTCAAATAATTGTTTCCAGTTACCCCATTTATTTCCTTGAAGAACTGGACAATCGCGCTGTTCACTGTTATGCGAAAACAAACAGCTTCCTTTTTGGGGCAAGACAGATATTTTTAATTTTGGAAAAACCGTCGCACCACCCTGCTCCACATCGTTAGCCTGTTGATGGGATTTAGTAACAACATTTAAGTTTTTAATTATATTAAACCTGCCTCTTTTTTACCCTAAAGTTATTATTTTTGGAGATTATACTCACATAACACAGTAATCTTCCTGTTGAGTGAGTCTCCAAATGCGCAGATGGTCTATAGTCTGATAATTTAAGCTCATCTGTGAGAGGAAAACTAAACCCTGTCATGTCGGTGATGCGTCGAAAGATGCGATTCTTGATGAAATTGATATTAAGGGCAGTGTTGTTCTTCGAAAGCTGATTGAGTTTTGCGATCTCGTCGTCATAAAGAACGTTGTGGTAAATTACAACATAAGGATCCATGCTCAACAATTCCTGTTTCAGAGGTGCTAGTCTCAAAAATTGAGTTGTGGTGAAGTTGTAGCTGCAAACTAGTTTCTTCCGCCTGGGAAACAGCCCACGGCATCCCAATTCGTAGTCGGTTGGGGCTGTCTTGTTTAAATTCATTTCCCAAACTATTTTCTCATCGCTTTGGCTTAGCAATTGGGATACCAGTGATTTTACGTCTGCTAGGCTGGCTTTTTGAAGTGCTATGTAGTTTATTGCTCGAACTTCTTGAACAGTCAGTAAGGGATTTGACCTAGTTATGCCTGAATGTTGAAATATAAAAGCTAAATAGGGTGGATATGGTACTAACGACTTACCAAACATAAGCATTGATTTGGCATATTGCATATACAATTTATCCCTGGGATCTCCAAGAATATTATTGATTATCTCGGCGTTTTCTTCGGGTTCATGTTTGATGGCCATGCGAAACCACATGGAAGCTCTATGATAGTCTTCCTTTTCTAATTTGTGCTCACCTAAAACATGGCAATCTCGTAAGGAAAGTTTAATGCTGCAAGGCATTGTCATTTTTGAGGTAACAATTTTTGAACAGTAAGTGTTGTATTTACTCGTATTGTTTATCCTGCAGACGACCTCTTGCTAAATCTGTGGCCTCAAGATCGTATGTCTTTTCAAGCTGCTGCATTTCTCGTAAAGAGTATTCCATGTAATTTTCATCAGGGGCCTTGGCCATTATTTCTTCTAACGCATACAGTTCCTCTGAATAAAATTATAAAGTATTTATTCGAAATTTAAATGGTTCCTTTAAGGAAGTCTACTTATATTGGGTATATTCTTACCCAATCCCACACTTTGCTGTGAGTAATTGTGCCATTTTGGTAGATCTTGATGTGTTCGTCTCACTAAACTAAACGCATTCAATGGATTACTAACATATTTCTCTCGATCTTCTAAGCTTTGCCTGACCACAAAATCAATTGAGTCAATATATCTGCGAGAAACCGATCTAGCTTTAAAGATTGTATTTACTTTACCAAATCTTTCTTACGCTTGCAGATTCTTAACCTTCTCGGCCATTTTATTGGTGTAAGCCTTTATATTCTCTATAAATTGTTGCTCCATTTCCAATAGCTTTAAACGTCCCGTGATGGAAGTACCAAATAATTCTTTGTTTATAGAATTTGTTGTATCATGGGCAATAGTTTGCCTCCAGAAGAGTATTAGTAGTAGCAAACTGTGACAGCTTTTCATTTTGACTGACTTGGATAACAAAGATATGCAATAAACAACTAAATTCGATATGGTAAAAGCGTCACTAATAAATTAGTTTTACTTGTGAAAACCAAACTTTATTTTAAGCCAAAACACACGTCACTTTTTAAGACCTATTTTTTTGAAACCTTGGGCTGCAGGGCTTTACAAATACTTGTGGGTCGTAGTGTATCCATTTCGTAATTGCTGAGGAGGAGGTAATAAGGTTAAAAGTTCATAAGATCCATCTTTAGTACTTACTCCATCTGGAACCGACTATCACAGGACACACCGAATGCAAGGATCGGGGATCTGGCGATGAATCATCGAAATCATTGAACCAAAATAGAGCGTTGCCTTTCTGGGGCTCTACCGCCACTTTTATATCTGGGAAAACGGTTTGACCTCCTTGCGAAACATCTCCAGCCTGTCAAGGTCATAAAATCTATTTAATATATATTCGATGTATTCGGTATACGTACATAAAAGATTAAGCTTGCGATTCTATCTCCCAAGGTATTGTTGGCATCCACTTCTTTTAGACGTTCTGTGTAATAATCGTGGTGTGCCCTGAAGTATCCACCCACACCAAAATTAGCCAGCTGTAAAGCAGGAAACTCCTCCAATTTAAAGCCTGTTATGTCACCAATGCGTTGATTGATTCTATCAATGAACGCGGATTGTTCCCTTATCCAATGGATGCGCGCCACAATCTCCTTGGAATCGTCTGTTTCAGTCCATCCATTGCCCATTTGCCGTATATATTCTAAATTCCCTGTCATTTTCTCGATTTCGTTAACCGATATAGCTCCGTGGATCATTATAATGTAAGGGTCTCGGCTTATTTCTTCCATTTTTAGAGGTGCCAATTTTAAAAAGGAGTTTGTAGTAAAATTGTAACGGCAGACGAGATTGGTTCTCTTGGGGAAGAGTCCTTGACATCCAATATTCTGGGCATTTGGAGCTGTTCTGGAATTATCCGTTGCATTTATACTTTCCGTAGTCCATTGGCTTAGTTTTGACTTAACAAAATACTCCAAGTTTTTTGTTTTAGCGTCTTGCAATTGGTTGTTTATTGATTTGTGAATAGTGGTTTGATTCGATGTAAAAATACCTGCATAGGAAGAATATATCATAAATATTGTAACTATAAAACCCTTGTAAAGGGTTTTTGTAATAAATACATTTACTTACCACGCTTGGTTATGGATGTGGCAAAGGCTTTAAGTTCAAGGCTCAGTAATTTGCTAAAAATGTCCTGACTCGGCTCTGTATTTATATCTAAAGCTTCTTCAAACCATAAGAGTGATCGGTTAAAATCTCCAACTTCAAAATTATGGTGAGCTAATGCTAAACAGTCCCGTGCGTTAAGTTTATAGCTGGTAAAAAAACATAATAGGAAAAATATCTATGAACTCAAAGATTTGCAAAATTAATTTTTTATTTTATATGTTATAAAAAAATAAGTGAGTGCATAACACTCACTTGAATTGTTTGCTTTGCAGCAGTCCCTTTGCTATATCTTTCGCTTGAAGATCATATGTTGTCTCAATACGATGCATTGCTTTTAGTGTTTCGTTCATGTCGAAAGAATCAGGCGCATTATTTAGGATTTTCTCCATCGCGTTTAGTTGTATAAGGCCCAAAGGTTCACGGGTGTAATTTTGCAATTTGGGCCAATCCTGATTTAGTCTTCTGATCAATCCAAAAGCATTTAGAGGATTGGAAACAAACTTTTCCCTTTCTTTATGGGTCGTATGATTAGGCCGCTTCAAGTGGTCTAGGTAACTAAATCATATTCCGATTGTAAAATATACAAAATAAATGAATTTATAACTCACATATTTAGATTGTCAACTTTATCCTGCAAGACATTGGCATAGATCGTAAAATTCTCCATAAACTCTTGCTCCAGCTTTAAGAGGTTTACCAGTCCCAGAACTGAGGAACTATAATAATCCTTATTATGATATGAAATTAATTTCTCATCTTCTTCCGAGCTTGTAGACAAATTCTGCTGGACTAGGATAAGCTGTAAAATGAATACCAAAATAATCTGCATTGTTTGGTAGTTTTCAAGAGAGTGTAGTAAAAACAACACTTATTTGAGTAAAGCTTAAATTTTCATGAAATTATTTATTTAACGCTTTTAATTTCACGCTTAATTCAAGTGTCTCGTTCAAGTGAAATTCATAAGTTGAATTTTGTATACTCTTTTTCGCAAGGTCTGGAAAACATTTGAGGATTTTGGTGTAACCATTTGACGAGGGCTAAAATTATAAATATATAAATTATAAATATTATTTTCTAAGTGGAATTTACATATAACTTACTCCATTTAGAGCCCACAATAACCGGGCATGACATGTGGAAAGTATCTTCGTTAGGCTGCATGGCATGATTCAGATTTCGCCACACCACAGCACTGCCTTTTTGGGGCCAGATTGTGATATTTGCATAAGGAAAAACAGTGGCACCACCTTGGGCCACGTCGCTCAACTAAAATTTTCAGGGAAATAATAATTTAAATATAGATAAAGGAAATAGTAATAATTTAAAAGATCGAAAGTAATCAATAGAAAAAAGACATAATAAACATGAATTTGCATCATAGAAAGTTTTTTATACTTACAAAAAACATTATACTTGTAAGGCGGTCGCCTAATTCTGCCTAAAAAGATCAATACCAATACTTAAATTGCAATACTTCTGTTCATATTTCAAGCTTACCGTTTGATCCTCTAGTTCTAAGTTGTCAACATGGGAGTCTCTAAACCCACAAATACCATAGTTGTATATCATAAAGTCGCTATTCCCTTTTTCGTTCTCTCCAGTGATGTCCGTTACGCGCTGATTTAGCGCACTTTGGTGCTCCTCATTGAGCTTAGCAAACTTTAGGTTATAATCATCACTATATATGAATCGCAAAGGACCATTTAGTAGAGGGAGTGAAATATTTTTCATCCTTGAGATCTCACTGTCGTAGATTACATCATGATAGATTGCAATGTAGGGATCTAAGCTGAGAATTTCGACCTTAAGTGGGGCAATCCTTAAAAACGCTGTCCTTCCGCTTTCATAGAAACAACTAAAATATTTTCTGCGCTCCCATAATCCTTGACAACCAATGTGGCCGACCCATGGTTCAGTGACAAACTTTCATAGAGAATATATGTAGTTTAAATTTAACTTAAATGCTAATACGTACAAAAGTATCCGGAATATCAGCTTTAGCATATTCATAGATTTTTCTGTGAAGTGACCAGAGATCAGCATCCAAATCAGATACGTTTCGAAGAATATTCAAGGCGGCAGAAATGAAACCTTCACAGTGATCAATTTAAAAAATGTCAAAATATTGAAGCCACTTAAACTAACTTACCCTTCGCTACCAAAGTTTCTGTGTAATTTGTGTATAAATCAGCCAGCGTAAAGTTGAATACCTCCCTGTAGACTTGTCCATCTCGCTCTTCATCGTAGTGATCTACTGCAGTTTTATACCAATCTAAAGCAATCCTTTCCCTATTAGAGTTAACTAAGGAGTTAGCCAAAACCTGGCAATCAAGGGTACTCATTTTGGCACTATAAATAAAAATATAAAGGAAGATTGGGGCCAAACAAAAGGGCCATAGTTTTGATAAGTACTGGTGATATTAAAAACCTTAAAAACCTTAATAAGTTACTCACTTATACTTTTGTCCTCCCAGAACTCCATTGGCTATGTCAACTGGTTGTAGATTATAAAATCGGTGCAGTGAGAAGACTCCCCTGATGGCATCATCCAGATCTTGCTCGGTGGGTTGTGCTTCGTCCAAACCTTTTTTAATGGCTTCTAGGTTGCTCAAACCCACTTGTTTGGACATTAATAACTCTGTGTTAGTCCAATCTTCATGCAATCGTCGAATCAGGGAAAATCCGTTGAGTGGATGAGCAACGAACTTCTGTGGGTTTTTCCGAGAAATTTCTCGTTTGGATTGTACATTTTGTAGAAAACTAAACAGATAGATACGTAAAATACAATGTACCTATAAATAACACTTAATCACCTTTCTATAGTATCGATTTTGTCCTTAAGGGCGTTTGCATAGTTTGTTAACTCGCTTATGAATAAACCCTCCATATCTACTAGACTTTTCATTCCAGCTATAGACATGGCTTGATCAGTCAAAATTTCAAAAAGAGCCCCTGGAAGTATCAGTGAAACTAGGCAAATTTTTAAAATTAAGCACATGGTTTGTTTTCTATTGGTAGTAAAAAATTAACTGACTAAATGTTTTTCTACCAAACAAGCCATAAAATTGTGTATCAAGGCATATCAAATGCAAATGAATTGCTATTTTAAATGTCTGGTGTTATATGGTGTTATACATTTTTCAATTTAATAATCTAAATATAAAAAAGTTAATCTTTAAAAAAATAAAATTTTCAAACATTTTTATAGAAGTACTTAGTCTCTATTAGTAATATTGATAAATACATTAAAATATGTTTATGTTTACCTTTTTTAATGCATAAGTATATTTGAGTTTGTATTTTTATAATCCGTTTAAGCCTAACTAACGACTTTTGACAAGGTTGTTAAAAATGTTTTTATATCAACATTTTTTTTATCTAACATTTAGTATAAGCAAGCTACTGTCATGCTTCGGATTTGTGTTTTCATATTTTTGGTAAATGGAATTGGTTTGAGCTTTGAAGAACCAATAGAACCATCGAATTTATCGCATGGTTATGCATTATCGCATTCTCACATGTTGCCATTGCTGCCACTGAGGGAAAAGGCTACTAAAAATATGCAGAACTTTGCAATGGCTTTAACAAAACAACTATCAAATATTAAACTGTAAGAATAAAACATTTTCAGATTATTATTTATTTAAATAAAACACTCCTTTAGGGCCATAAACAAGTTGGAGAACCTTCTTAACCGCCAACACTCGTCAAATCCCTACGACACTTTTAAGTTAGCACGTCTTTTGCATTTTGACTGGCCAAATTGGTTACATTATCTAAAGGGGAAACACGGCATTCAGGAAATTGCTATTTTACAAGACTTGCGACATAAAATGCCTACAAGAATAGACTATAAAGAAGCTCTTTACGCCATACATCGCCTGCAGTCAACATACAGACTCGATCCCGCTGAAATGTCTATTGGTTTGCTGAGAGGAAAGCAATACAGGTATGCAGTAAATTCTGTTATATAAAGACGAATATTTAAATTAATTTTATATTTTTTATTATTATTATTTATTATTATTTTCAAAGATTTAAGAAATTTAGTGCTTTGGAGTACTTAACGATAGGCTCTGTTTATTATTTGGACGAGAAATTCCAGAGGGCAGAACAATGGTTTCAATTAGCCCTGGAAAACTACTATAAAGACCAAAATTCAAAGAAGTTTGATATATTTGGATGCTCCAATGATTTTATTTTGAAACTGCTCATGAAGGCGGCCCAGAGTTCAGGGCGATATAAAGCCGCTTTGGGATATGCCGAGAAAGCATTGATCTTGGACCAAAGTCACTCTTTTTGGCATCAGCAGATACCCAGACTGAAAAATTTGAGTTCATTACCCGAGGTACTTAAACCGGAGCATCCAAATAGATATTTATTTAAGCCAGCTTGTCTCATGGAATACCCAGCTAAGAAACATTTGCGTTGTCATCTCATACACTCCTCACCCTTTCTTCTGTTGGCTCCGATAAAAGTGGAGGAGTTGAACCACGATCCACCTATAAATATGTACCACAATCTCATCAATAATGAGGAAATCCTTTTGCTCAAGACTCTATCAAATCCACACTTAAAGCGCAGCATGTTTTACACCTCTGCTGATGAGATAATTGAAGACTTCTCCAATCTGCGTACATGCAAAACAATGCGGCTAAAGGATAATGTTGATCATACGTTAATGAATAATTTAAATCAACGTATTACGGATGCCACGGGCTTGAGTGTAAAAGAGTCTGAGGAGTTGCAGATTACTAACTACGGTATCGCTGGACATCTATTTGAGCACGAGGACGCTTCCATATCAACTGATAGTACATTTTGGACATCCGGCAATCGTGTTATAACGGCCTTGTATTATGTAAGATATAATGAACAAATTTTTGTGTAAGTTTTAACAAGTTTTTTTCAGATGAGCGATGTGGAGCAAGGTGGTGAAACAGTTTTTCCTTATCTTGATCTAAGAGTTCGTACTCAAAAAGGATCCTTGTTGGTATGGTACAATCTGTTATTGAATGGAACCATCGATTGGAGAGTCGCACATGTATCTTGCCCCATTATAATGGGTGACAAGTGGAGTAAGTTTTTGGGCATTTAACAATTTAATATTTCATTGCGCCTTTTTTCAGTTGCCACCAAGTGGTTACGAGAAAAACCACAAATGTTTATTCGTCCTTGTCCATTAAAGATGAAGCCACCGCCTGAATATAGTTCTAAAATGGTCGAGGACAAGTTTTTCAAGGAAAATAGTAAACAACATTTTGTATAATATAAAGTTTATAAAAATTTACAGAAAAACACAATTTATGTCATTTTGAAAGACCTTTAAACAATTATTCAATTTCGTTAAACAATATTTAAATTATCTTGTTTTTTTATTTGGTTTTTATTCTAACCTACTTTTTTTGTGAGTGGATATTAAACGATGTTGAATGTTTAATTTCTTGCTAGATGGAGCGTGATGCATAACGAATTTATCATAATTAAAAACAATTTAACAGGCTTAGTTTTCCTCATGTTTTCAGTTTTGTTTAAATAGTTGAAATGTTGCTACTCTTCATAGCTTTAACTACTGGTGTTGTTCTTCAAGTTAAGGGCCAGGTTATGTCAACACCTATATCCGATGACTTTACAATATCCTTAGAATCTCAATTGTCGTTGCTTAAATTTAAAGAAGCCCAAGCAAACAATCTTCTGACCTATAGAGAAGCATTGGACGCGCAATTGAAAGAAATTAAGCTGTAAGTAAAAAAAAAATACTTACTAAATCAGAAAATAAATATGTTTAGTTTTTCTATGCAAACAGGGCCATTTATCACACAGAAAATCTGTTGAGATCAGCTTCACATTTCCAGCATAATTTGATTTTTGAATTTAAAGTTTTGAGGCACATTTACAAGGATTGGCCCCAATACTTCAAATTATTGAAAAAAGAATTGGGCACCGCAGAGATATCACTATCTCAGGAGCTATTAACAAGGCAACCAACCTCTGTGGATTTTACGGAATCTTTGCGTGCCATTTATAGACTCCAAACTGTGTATAACTTAGACTCTTCCGACATGGCTGAAGGAATATTAGATGGCTTCGATTACAAGTATGAATTATGTATATTTTGCAAAAGCAGTTAAATATGAAATATTTAAAATATTTTCAGTGTCCAAAAATGGGGTATTGATGAGTGTTTGGTACTGGGCCTAATGTATCAATACTTAAAAAATTACGACCTATCGGAATATTGGTTGAAATTGGCTCTTCATCAATACGAGGAACATCCCAACCGCGATGTGCTAAAAATTAAACTTTGGAAATATCATAACTTGTTGGAATTTCTAATGGAGGCCAATAAGGGACTTGGTAAGTGAATATTAAGGTAATTAAGGTAAGTGTATAAAATATACAATAAATATAAATATTTTATTTTTTGTTAAATGTATGTAAATATAAATAATATAGTCAAATTATGATGAATTGCTATTCGATTTAGTATTAAGTGGTATGCATGTGTTTTAACCACCATTATTTATTTTAATTAAAGGTCGCTATGTGGCAGCTAAGGAGTTTGCGAACGAGTTAATTTCGATATTTCCAAATCAGATGTATGCTATAAAGCAACTGGCTAAGTTGGAATATCTGCAAGCAAATCCACTCAATCTCACGGAAACAAAGAAGGATTATCAGGTCCAGAAAGCAATTTGCTCAAAGCCTTATCCCAAAAAAGTATCAGTTAATCTTATTTGCCGTTATGTAAATTGGACGCCATTCCTGAAATTGGCGCCTTTAAAACTTGAGGAGTTGGCCATTAATCCATCGTTAGTCATTATTCCTGATTTCGTCGGAGAAAAGGACATGGAAATATTAAAAAATGTGGCTCGACCAAAACTTAAACGCAACGAACACTTATCATGGAATTGCAGTTGTAAAATTTCGACACTATCCAGCTCATCACATAATATTGTTGGAAAAATAAATCATCAAATTACCGATATCATAGGATTTCCAAGGAACGGAAATCAAGTGCTAGAAGTCATCAATTATGGTATTGCTGGTAACTACAATCCCCATGACACTTTAAGGTCGCCAAGCAACAGCATAGCGAACGCTTTGATATATGTAAGTATATTCTTCAATAATTAGGTTACTTATTATAATATTGCCCTTAAAACACTTTAGTTGAGCAACGCCGAAAAGGGCGGAGAAATTGTTTTCCCTTCGGTCGAAGTAAAAATAAAACCTCAAAAGGGTACATTGCTAGTTTGGGTTAATCCCAAGGAGAGTATTTTTTATCATCAGTGCCCTCTCTTAAAGGGAAATATGTGGTGTAAGTGCATGCGATTTATTTATTATTTCTTAACGACATGTTCATCTTCTTTTAGTGGCCAACAAAATGCTGAACTGAGCTTTTTATTGCATTATTTATGTACTTTTTCTAACATCTTTGTCATATGTTTATTTCAATTTGAACTCTTGGCACTGAGTTATTACAAAAGTCTACACAGGTCTACAATTATTTAAAATCGAAATTGTACTTCGAAAAATGCACACTCTTCAAGATTACATATCATATACATCATAACATTTTAATGGCAAACAGATAATTCATAGAAATAAACTTTTCTATTCACATTCATAAATCAAATTAAGTCCCAAAAATATTTATTTTATTTTCTTTAAATTTAAATAAAATGAACTATAAAGTATAGAGTTTCGTAGAAAAGGGTGCGAATTTTTCATGTCATTTTTATTAGCTTTATCAAGCTCATTACTTTATATTTTTGTCATTTTGTCTTCATTGCCTTTCGGGTGATAAATATATCTCTAAAGCAAACATGTGGTGCTTGCTTACTTCGAAAAAACTTTTAATGTGTCTACCATAAACAATTCGAATGGCTCGAGTGCCATACACGTTCGACTGAATTATAATGACACGACACTTAAATCATAAAAATCGAAAATTTACACTTGTGCGGGTGTCTGGTTGGGTGCCTGATTCTGATTCTGAC